GAGGCGGGTAGTGAGGAGGCGGGTAGTGAGTGAGGCGGGTAGTGAGGTGGGAGGGGGTAGTGAGTGTGTGAGGTGGGTAGTGAGTGTGGAGGCGGGTAGTGGTATGGAGGCGGGTAGTGAGTGTGTTGAGGCGGGTAGTGAGTGTGTTGAGGTGTGAGGGCGGGTAGTGAGGAGGTAGGGAGTGTGTGAGGCGGGTAGTGAGAGTGTGAGGCGGGTAGTGAGTGTGTGTGGCGGGTAGTGAGTGTGTTGAGGCGGGTAGTGAGGAGGTGGGTAGTGAGGTGAGGCGGGTAGTGAGGGTGAGGCGGGTAGTGAGGGGAGGGTGGTGTGTGAGTGTGTGAGGTGTGGGTAGGGAGGTGGGTAGTGAGTGTGTGAGGCGGGTAGTGAGTGTGTAGTGGTGAGTGTGGGAGGCGGGGAGGTGTTGAGGTGGGAGTGTGTGAGGGTGGTGTGTGTGAGGCGGGTAGTGAGGAGGGAGGCAGGCAGTGAGTGTGTTGAGGCGGGTAGGTGTGTGTGAGGGGGTAGTGAGTGTGTGAGGTGGGTAGTGAGGGGAGGCGGTAGTGGGTGTGTGAGGCAGAGGGGTGTAAGGCGGGTGAGGTGTGTGAGGCGGGTAGTGGTGTGTGAGGCCAGCATAACACACCATCACACCACATCATTATACCACCACACCATGTCACACCATTACACCACCACACCAGTATGCCACATCATCACACCACACCACCACATTAGCATGCCATTACACCACCACACCACACCACACCACCACACCACACCACACACCACCACACCACACCACCACATCATCATGCCATTACACCACCACCACACCACACCACACCACCACACCACCAACACCACACCACACCACACCACCACACCACACCACACCACCACACCACACCACCACCACCACACCACACCACACCACCACACCACACCACCACCACCACACCACACCACCACATCAGCATGCCATTACACCACCACCACACCACACCACACCACCACACCACACCACACCACCACACCACCAGGGGCCGTGTCAACCAGGGGTGTAGGTGTCCAGCTTTAACTAAGGACAACGATCACAGTGTAATGGCCGGGGAGAGTTGGCGCCTCTCACTCACTACTACGACCACCACGTGAGACGACCACCACGTGAGACGACCACCACGTGAGACGACCACCACGTCACTACCGGTATGTGACGACCGCCACGTGAGACGACCACCACGTCACTACCGGTATGTGACGACCACCAGTGTGTATGACGACCTCCACGTTAGTACCAGCGTGTGTGTGACGACCACCACCTCAGCACCAGTCACTCCCGGTATATGACGACCGCCAGTGTGCATGTGACGACCACTACGTCAGCACCATTGTGTGACGACCACCATGTCACTACCGGTATGTGACGACTATTATGTCAGTACCAGTGTGTGTGACGGCCACCACGTCAGCACCAGCGTGACGACCATTATGTCAGCACCAGCGTGACACCACCACGTCAGCACCAGCGTGTGACGACCATTATGTCAGCACCAGCGTGTGACGACCAGCACGTCAGCACCAGCGTGTGACGACCATTATGTCAGCACCAGCGTGTGACGACCACCACGTCAGCACCAGCGTGTGACGACCATTATGTCAGCACCAGCGTGTGACGACCACCACGTCAGCAGGTCCCCCGCTGGAACTAATCGTATTGTCGTTGTTTCAGATCAACATCTAAACTTTGGCGACCAAAAATTAGCCGCAGTTCAGGACTTTATTTATACGTGATTACGTCTGTGTGGCGGAGCGTAAATTTGGCGCTCCCTAATGTATTTGGCGTTGCTATGGTAGACTCGCGTTGCTATGTTCAATTTGGCGTCGCGATTGTTGATTTGACGGCGCTGTGGTTGACTTGAGTTGCTAAGATAGATTTGGCGTTGCTGTGGTAGATTTGATGTGCTTACAGTAAATTTGGAGACGTTATAGATTTGGCGTTGCTGAAGTAGATTTAGCGAAGGTTAAGGATTTGGCGACGTTATGGTAGATATATAAATCTTTGGGCGCGTGTGTGGCTATTAAGCGTTATTGTTAATGGCTCGTCCTCCTGTCTCGTAATGTCTCGCAAATAACCAATACTGTCCTCGTAATGTCTCGCAAATTCTGTTACTGTCTCGTAATATTTCGTCGTGTTTCGTAATGTCTCGTAGGGTATCTTAATGCCTCGTAGTGTCTCGTTAAAATCTCTTAATATCTCACATTGTCTCTCAATATCCCAGTGTCTCTCTTCAATGTCTCGTAATGACCCACAATGTCTCGTACTATCTCAAAATGTCTCGTAATGGCCCACAATGTCTCTTACTGTCTCGAAATGTCTCGCTAATTACCGTATTTTTGGTCAGGTGTTTTCCGGCAAAAGTTGAGCGGCGATATTAAGAAAAATGTGATGAGAAAATTCCAAAGTGACGAAATGAACAAAAGTCCGAATGGCGTTACCAAAAAGTCCAAAACACAGGTTAAAGTCCAAAACACAGGTTAAAGTCCAAAACACAGGTTAAAGTCCAAAACACAGGTTAAAGTCCAAAACACAGGTGAAAGTCCAAAACACAGGTGAAAGTCCAAAACACAGGTTAAAGTCCAAAACACAGGTTAAAGTCCAAAACACAGGTTAAAGTCCAAAACACAGGTTAAAGTCCAAAACACAGGTAAAAGTCCAAAACATAAATAAAAGTCCAAAACACAGGTTAAAGTCCAAAACACAGGTTAAAGTCCAAAACACAGGTTAAAGTCCAAACACAGTTAAAGTCCAAAACACAGGTAAAAGTCCAAAACACAGGTTAAAGTCCAAAACACAGGTTAAAGTCCAAAACACATAAGTCCAAAATAGATAAAAGTTATAAAAATACAAAAGAAATCAATATGTACCCTAAAACTCCGAATGGTATTAACAAAAGTCCTAAATTATCCATAAGTCCGGAATACAAAAAAGTCCAAAAGTAAAAAAACAAAAGATTGAAAAGTATAAGGTTTAAAAACCAAAGTTTGAAAGAAAAATACGAAAGTTTCAAGACCTTTGAAGTCGACTACTGTAAGTCCAGCTAATTAAAAAAAAAAATAAAATTAAAATAAAAGTCTAAAATCACAAAAAAGTTCAATGGTTCGAAGTCTAAAAAAAATATATAAGAAGTTTCAATATTTAAGGGAAAAAAGTCCAAAAGTCTTCAAAAAGTCCTATATATTAGAGGGGAGAGGGAGGAGGAGGAGGAGGAGGAGGGGGAGGAGGAGGAGGAGGGAGGAGGAGGAGGAGGAGGAGGAGGAGGAGGGGAGGGGAGGGAGAGGAGGAGGGAGGGGGGAGAGGAAGACGCTACTTTCATTTAACTAATATTCCCGCCTTCCTCCTCCCCCCCTCTGTTTGTATACCTGTCTGTCTGTCTGTCTGTTTATGTCTGTGTTTTCTGTCTGTCTGTGTCTGTATTTTCTGACTGATCGTGTCTGCTCTACCTGTGTGTGTGTGTGTGTGTGTGTGTGTGTCTCACTTTCTGCTCTCCCACACTCTCCCACACTCTCCACACACTTCCTCACTCTCCCAGCACTACAAGGCACCATGGCCGCCACTCTCCCAGCACTACAAGGCACCATGGCTGCCACTCTCCCAGCACCACAAGGCACCATGGCTGCCACTCTCCAGCACCACAAGGCACCATGGCCGCCACTCTCCCCACACTCTCCCACACACTTCCACTCCTCTCCCAGCACTACAAGGCACCATGACCGCCACTCTCCCAGCACCACAAGGCACCATGGCTGCCACTCTCTCCCACACTCTCCCACACACTTCTCACTCTCCAGCACTACAAGGCACCATGACCGCCACTCTAGCACCACAAGGCACCATGGCTGCCACTCTCCCCACACCTCCCCACACACTTCTCACTCTCCCAGCACCACAAGGCACCATGGCTGCCACTCTCCCAGCACCACAAGGCACCATGGCTGCCACTCTCCCAGCACTACAAGGCACCATGGCTGCCACTCTCCCAGCACCACAAGGCACCATGGCTGCCACTCTCCCAGCACCACAAGGCACCATGGCTGCCACTCTCCCCACACTCCCACACACTTCCTCACTCTCCCAGCACCACAAGGCACCATGGCCGCCACTCTCCCAGCACCACAAGGCACCATGGCCGCCACCTCCCAGCACCAAGGCACCATGGCGCCACTCTCCCAGCACCACAAGGCACCATGGTCGTCACTCTCCCAGCACCACAAGGCACCATGGCTGCCACTTCCAGCACCAGCACCAGGCCGCCACTCTCCCAGCACCACAAGGCACCATGGCCGCCACTTCCAGCACCACAAGGCACCATGGCCGCCACTCTCCAGCACCACAAGGCACCATGGCTGCCACTCTCCCAGCACCACAAGGCACCATGGCCGCCACTCTCCCAGCACATTGCGGCACCATGGCCGCCACTCCAGCACCACAAGGCACGCGGCCGCCACTCTCCCAGCACCACAAGGCACCATGGCCGCCACTCTCCCAGCACCACAAGGCACCATGACCGCCACTCTCCCAGCACCCAAGGCACCATGGCCGCCACTCTCCCAGCACCACAAGGCACCATGGCCGCCACTCTCCCAGCACCACAAGGCACCATGGCCGCCACTCTCCCAGCACCATGGCTGCCACTCTCCCAGCACCACAAGGCACCATGGCCGCCACTCTCCCAGCACCACAAGGCACCATGGCTGCCACTTTCCCAGCACCACAAGGCACCATGGCTGCCACTCTCAGCACCACAAAGGCACCATGGTCGCCACTCTCCAGCACCACAAGGCACCATGGCTGCCATTTCCCAGCACCACAAGGCACCATGGCCGCCACTCTCCAGCACAACAAAGCACAATCACGGCCGCCACTCTCCCAGCACCACAAGGCACCATGGCTGCCACTCTCCCAGCACCACAAGGCACCATGGCCGCCACCTCCAGCACCACAAGGCACCATGGCTGCCACTCTCCCAGCACCACAAGGCACCATGGCACCACTCTCCCAGCAAACAAGGCACCATGGCTGCCACTTCCCAGCAGCAAGCGCAATGGCCGCCACTTCCCAGCACCACAAGGCACCATGGCTGCCACTTTCCAGCACCACAAGGCACCATGGCCGCCACTTTCCCAGCACCACAAGGCACCATGGCCGCCACTCTGCACCACAAGGCACCATGGTCGCCACTTCCCAGCACCACAAGGCACCATGGCCACCACTTTCCAGCACACGAGAGCACCATGGCCGCCACTCTCCCATCACCACAGAGGCACCATGGCCGCCACTCTCCCAGCACCACAAGGCACCTGGCCTGCCACTCTCCCAGCACCACAAGGCACCATGGCCGCCACTTTCCAGCACCACAAGGCACCATGGTCGCCATTTCCCAGCACCACAAGGCACCATTGCCGCCACTTCCCAGCAAAGGCACCATGGCCGCACTCTGCCAGCACCACAAACCATGGCCACCTCCGCACCACAAGGCACCATGGCCACTCCAGCACCACAAGGCACCATGGCTGCCACTTCCAGCACACAAGGCACCATGGCTGCCACTCTCCCAGCACCACAAGGCACCATGGCTGCCACTCTCCCAGCACCACAAAGCACCATGGCTGCCACTCTCCCAGCACCACAAGGCACCATGGCTGCCACTCTCCCAGCACCACAAGGCACCATGGCCGCCACTCTCCAGCACCACAAGGCACCATGCCGCCACTCTCCCAGCACCACAAGGCACCATGGCCACCACTTCCAGCACCACAAGGCACCATGCTGCCACTTCCCAGCACCAAGGCACCATGGCTGCCACTCTCCCAGCACCACAAGGCACCATACGCACCTCCAGCCACACAGGCACCATACGCACTCTCAGCACCACAAGGCACCATGGCTGCCACTTCCCGCACCAAGCACCATGGCCGCCACTTCCCAGCACCACAAGGCACCATGGCTACCACTCTCCCAGCACCACGAGGCACCATGGCTGCCACTCTCCCACACAGGCACCGGCCGCCACCGCACCACAGCCGCCATTTCCACACTACAAGGCACTGGCTGCCACCTCCCAGCACCAGCGGCACTGGCACGCACCTCCAGCACCACAAGGCACCATGGCCGCCACTCTCCCAGCACCACGAGGCACCATGGCCGCCACTCTCCCAGCACCACAAGGCACCATGGCCGCCACTCTCCCAGCACCACAAGGCACCATGGCTGCCACTCTCCCAGCACCACAAGGCACCATGGCCGCCACTCTCCCAGCACCACAGAGGCACCATGGCTGCCACTCTCCCAGCACCACAAGGCACCATGGCCGCCACTCTCCCAGCACCACGAGGCACCATGGCCGCCACTCTCCCAGCACCACAAGGCACCATGGTCGCCACTCTCCCAGCACCACGAGGCACCATACGCCACTCTCCCAGCACCACAAGGCACCATGGCCGCCACTCTCCCAGCACCACAAGGCACCATGGCCGCCACTCTCCCAGCACCACAAGGCACCATGGCCGCCACTCTCCCAGCACCAAGGCACCATGGCTGCCACTCTCCCAGCACCACAAGGCACCATGGCCGCCACTCTCCCAGCACCACAAGGCACCATGCCCCACTCTCCCAGCACCACAAGGCACCATGGCCGCCACTCTCCCAGCACCACAAGGCACCATGGTCGCCACTCTCCCAGCACCACAAGGCACCGCGGCTGCCACTTCCCAGCACCACAAGGCACCATGGCCGCCACTTCCCAGCACCACAAGGCACCATGGCCGCCACTCTCCCAGCACCACAAGGCACCATGGCCGCCACTCTCCCAGCACCATGGCCGCCACTCTCCAGCACCACAGGCACCATGGTCGCCACTCTCCCAGCACCATGGCCGCCACTCTCCCAGCACCACAAGGCACCATGGCCGCCACTCTCCCAGCACCACAAGGCACCATGGCCGCCACTTCCCAGCACCACGAGGCACCATGGCTGCCACCTCCCAGCACCACAAGGCACCATTCTCGCCACTCTCCCAGCACCACAAGGCACCATGGCCGCCACTTCAGCACCACAAGGCACCATGGCCGCCACTCTCCAGCACCACGAGGCACCATGGCCGCCACTCTCCCAGCACCACGAGGCACCATGGCCGCCACTCTCCCAGCACTACGAGGCACCATGGCCGCCACTCTCCAGCACCCAGAGGCACCATGGCTGCCACTCTCCCCAGCACCATGGCCGCCACTTCCCAGCACCACAAGGCACCATGGCCGCCACTCTCCCAGCACCTGGCGGCTGCCACTCTCCCAGCACCACAAGGCACCATGGTCGCCATCCCCAGCACCACGAGGCACCATGGCCGCCACTTCCCAGCACCATGGCTGCCACTCTCCCAGCACCATGGCTGCCACTCTCCCAGCACCACAAGGCACCATGGTCGCCACTTCCCAGCACCACGAGGCACCATGGCCGCCACTTCCCAGCACTACGAGGCACCATGGCTGCCATTCTCCCAGCACCATGGCCGCCACTCTCCCAGCACCACAAGGCACCATGGCCGCCACTCTCCCAGCACCACAAGGCACCATGGTCGCCACTCTCCCAGCACCACGAGGCACCATGGTCGCCACTCTCCCAGCACTACGAGGCACCATGGTCGCCACTTCCCAGCACCACGAGGCACCATGGCCGCCACTCTCCCAGCACCATGGCCGCCACTCTCCCAGCACCATGAGCCGCCACTCTCCCAGCACCACAAGGCACCATGGCCGCCACTCTCCCAGCACCACAGCACCATGGCCGCCACCTCCCCAGCACCATGGCCGCCACCTCCCAGCACCATGCCTGCCACCTCCCCAGCACCATGGCCGCCACTCTCCCAGCACCATGGCCGCCACCTCCCAGCACCACGAGGCACCCGCCGCCACTCTCCCAGCACCACGAGGCACCATGCCGCCACTCTCCCAGCACCGTCGCCACTCTCCAGCACCATGGTCGCCACTCTCCCAGCAGCACCAGGCCAGGCCACCTCCCAGCACCACAAGGCACCATGCGCCACCTCCCAGCACCATGCCACCTCCCAGCACCATGGCCGCCACCTCCCAGCACCACAGCCCCGCCACCTCCCAGCACCATGCCGCCACTCTCCCAGCACCATGGCCGCCACTTCCAGCACCATGGCCGCCACTCTCCCAGCACCATGGCCGCCACTCTCCCAGCACCATGGCCGCCACTCTCCCAGCACCATGGCCGCCACTCTCCCAGCACCACAAGGCACCATGCCCGCCACTTCCCAGCACCATGGCCGCCACTCTCCCAGCACCATGGCCGCCACTCCCAGCACCATGCCGCCACTTCCAGCACCAGCCGCCATCTCCCAGCACCATGGCCGCCACTCTCCCACTGCCTAAGACATTAATTATTAAACTTTAAAATTCTGGTCGTAATTTTGAGTGATAAATTGTAGTGATCCAACGTGTCGGCGGCTGTCTAATGTTACCCACTTTGTCGACGTGTTACAGCGGTGTTACAGGTAGGTTAAGGGGGTGTTACAGCGAGGTCGGGGGGTGTTACAGGTGCTACAGGGAGGTTAAAGGGGGTGTTACAGGGAGGTTAGGGGGTGTTACATGGAGTCTAAGGGGGCGTTACAGGTGCTACAGAAAGGTTCAGGTGGCGTTACAGGTGTTAAGAGATTAAAGGGGGTTACAGGTGCTTAAGAGAGTTTAAAGGGGTGTTACAGTGTTAAAGGGAGGTTACAGGGTCGTTACAGTGGTGTTATAAGGGTGGTATAGTGTTAGTGATATAATACAGGTATTTTACGGTGTGACAAGTGTTCTCCAGTGTTACAGAAGTGTTACAAGAACCATTACAGATAAAATGTTACAAGTACTGTTACAGAGACAAGAAGTACAAGGGTGTTACAGGTAGGTTAAGGTGGTGTTACAGGTGCTACAGCGAGGTCAAGGGGGTGTTACAGGTGCTACAGGGAGGTTAGAGGGGTGTTACAGGTGCTACAGGAGGTTAGAGGGTACAAGGGAGGTTAGGGGGTGTTACAGGTGCTACAGGAGGTAAACGGGTGCTACAGGAGGTTAGAGGGGTACAGGGAGGTTAGGGTGTTACAGGTGCTACAGGAGGTAAACGGAGTGCTACAGGAGGTTAGGGGGTGTTACAGGGAGTAAGGGGTGTTACAGGTGCTACAGGGAGGTAAAACGGGGTGCTACAGGAGGTTAGGGGGTGTTACAGGGAGGTTAGGGGGTGTTACAGGTGCTACAGGAGGCAAAAGGGGGTTACAGGAGTTAGGGTGTTACAGGGAGGTTAGGGGGTGTTACAGGTGCTACAGGGAGGTAAACGGGAAGCAAGAGGAGGTTAGGGGGTACACAGGAGGTTAGGGGGTGTTACAGGTGCTAGGGAGGTAAACGGGTGCTACAGGGAGTGTTAGGGTGTTACAGGGAGTGTTAGGGGTGTTAAGCAGGTGCTACAGGAGGTAAACGGGTGCTACAGGAGTGTTAGGGTGTTACAGGGAGGTTAGGGGGTGTTACAGGTGCTACAGGGAGGTAAACGGTGCTACAGGGAGGTTAGGGGGGTGTTACAGGGAGTTAGGTGTTACAGGTGCTACAGGAGGTAAACGGTGTTACAGGGAGGTTAGGGGTGTTACAGGGAGGTTAGGGGTGTTACAGGTGCTACAGGGAGGTAAAATGGGTGCTACAGGAGGTTAGGGGTGGTTACAGGAGAAGGCAGAACAGAAGAAGATGATTACAGCGTTACGTAGATGTAGAGGTAATCCTTTAATGTGATCTTGTAACGTTACAACTCAAGTGGATCAATGAGTCAGTTGTAACACTCATAATGTGAACACAGTTACGTAATGCTAGGGAGGGGGGGAGGGAGGGGAGGAAGGAAGGGGAAGGAAGGAGGGGAGGGAAGGAGGGGAGGGAAGGAGGGGGAGGGAAAGAAGGAGGGGAGGAAGGGAGGAGAGAGGAAAGGAGGGAGAAGTTGCCACTATGTATGTATGGCTGGTGTAATCCCTCACACTATGTATGTATGGCTGGTGTAATCCCTCACACTATGTATGTATGGCTGTTGTAATCCCTCACACTATGTATGTATGGCTGGTGTAATCCCTCACACTATGTATGTATGGCTGGTGTAATCCCTCACACTATGTATGTATGGCTGGTGTAATCCCTCACACTATGTATGTATGGCTGGTGTAATCCCTCACACTATGTATGTATGGCTGGTGTAATCCCTCACACTATGTATGTATGGCTGGTGTAATCCCTCACACTATGTATGTATGGCTGGTGTAATCCCTCACACTATGTATGTATGGCTGGTGTAATCCCTCACACTATGTATGTATGGCTGTTGTAATCCCTCACACTATGTATGTATGGCTGGTGTAATCCCTCACACTATGTATGTATGGCTGGTGTAATCCCTCACACTATGTATGTATGTATGTAGCGCATACAAATTTCCACACTTCCAACAGTATGCTTATACACACCAATACCTTACATCATACAACGATTACATTATGCACACACACACACACACACACACACACACACACGCACACACA